TAATAACAATTATATTTTAATAATTTTTACAAATATTATTTTAAATTATAATAGTTACTATACGTAAAAAATAATATAATATCGATCAAAATTCCATTACTAGTTTTTTATAAAAGAAATTGTAAATTACATACCCCTTTTTCAAATACTACTTGTTGTCTACGAATTTAAAAATAGAAATATGAGCAAACACAACTTTAGATTTAATTTCACATACATAAAATACTGTTACAAGAACATTATGCAAGATACACTAATTTATTGACGCTTACAATATAGTTCACTGTTACGATTATCGTCACAGATGGCACCAAAAAAAGTTAAACACAAATGGAATGAATAATTGAATCACTTCAGTTTTAAGACAATGTGGTAATTTTCATTGTAATTATCTTGTACTTTCCAGGTGTTGTTATATTAATAATAAATATAAATAACACAAAATAATCAAATCAGAAATAATTTATACAATAAATTAAAAACATTTTAATTATTTTTATTCAGCAATAGAAGACTAAATTTTTAATATAAAACTATCATTGTATTAAAACGATTTAAAATCATTTTGTAAAGTTTAAAGGTTTACAGGAAGTTTATAAAATATGGTAAAATTTCCATCTTTGTTTGAAAATATTTAGCTGTTCTAAAAAAACAATATTTAATTCAAAAAGAAAGTATTACAGCAACAAAGAAAATAAACATTTTACATAAGGTTAATATAAGTCAGATAAGAATTTTCAAAATTTTTTTATTTTCTGGAATATTTTTCGATATTTTATTGAAGATCATCTAAAGATTAATATTGTTAGTTGTTAATACATTGATACGAGGTTTTCAGCTCGTAAACATTTTCATTTATATTCGCAAATTATTTTTTATCGTTGCTAAATCTTGGGACCGCGAAAAAATTAAATTTCATACATACTTAACTTTAAATTTGCTAGCCTAAGATATTTTCAAGGGATTATTATTGTATATATTATGTATGTAGATGCCTGTAGACTAGTGTTAAGTACAATATATGAGAGAGAAAAATTTGCATTCATACATTGAAAATATTTACGATCTCAAAAATACTGAAAGAAATGATTCTGTGAAAAAAATTCTCATTACAATGAATCTACTTCCTAATTTCATTAAAACTACGTATGAAATACTTCTTATATCATTATTATTACAAAACGTTATTAGTTGATTCGTTTAGGTGGAATGCCCTGTAGCTATATCAGGTGGTATCGTAAACCACGTTGAAATATCTGTTAGGTATTGGCACTTCAATAAGGTTATGTTTTCGGTTACTCTAAATACTTTAAAACGGTTTTAAATCGTACAAAGTTGTGTATATTTAAAAGTTTTATTTTTCGAATATAAATAAAAGTATGAGTACACAAAAAGGGAATTCTAGTCGTTCGAGACCACAAAAATATCAAAATCACACTGTTTTTAAAAATGATTTACATGATAAATCAAATAAAACAAAACTTATTAACAGTATTGATGTTGCAAATGTATGTGAACGATGTAAAAAAGTAATCGAATGGAAAATTAAATATAAAAAATATAAACCATTAAAAACGCCGGCAAAATGTGTAAAATGTGAACAGAAAACAATAAAACATGCTTATCACAAAATATGTTTACTTTGTGCTAAACAATGCGAAATTTGTCCAAAATGTGGTAACAAAGCTAACATTGTTGAAGGGAAACCTAGTAAAGAAGAAGCTATGAAATTGGACACGGAATTACAAAGTCTTCTCAAAAGTTTATCTGAACGAAAACGTAGAACATTTATACGTTATATGAATCGTAATGGTATTATAACTATGATATAATTGTACATATGTTTATATAACTTTTAAATTAAAAATAAGTAATATTGTTTTTCAGATATAAATTCAAAACATAATTTAAAAAAAAATAAGAATGTAAACAAAAACGAAGACGAAGAAACAGATGAAGATAGTGAACAAGAACAGGACACTTCTGTAATGGAGACTACATCTAAAGAAACTTTGTTATTGAAACTAAAATCTTTAATAATTAAGGAAGAAGATAGTGATGATTTTAACAGTGATGATGATTTAGATTCAATTATGTAAAAAATAAAATGAATTTGTAGAATTTGTTATTATATTATATGGATAATTTTATACCAGATAATTTTAACCACATTCATTACAAAGTTTGTACTGTGCAGGTTTATTTTTTATGTTAAAGGTGGATATAGTTTTACTTTGAAAGGATGGAAATGAAATGAATGAATGTAAAATGAAATTATATGTAATAATTTCGATATATTCGACATTCTTTATTATTATGTAATTTATAAAAATCTTAAATAAGG